ATGAAAGAGCTTGGTCCTACTGGGAGCTCCAGGAAATGGTGCAAAACACACTCAATAGAGTTATCACAGTCAAGAAGCAAATGAGCTGGGATTTTATTTATTTATTTATTTATTTATTTATTTATTTATTTATTTATTTTAAAAGAATTTTTCATTTTACTTTATTTCTCATTATTGTTATTTTTTTATGTGCTACAGGGCACATGGCATGCACCAGAGAGAGACAGAGACAGAGAGAGAGAGGGAAAGTGAGAAAGCAAGAAGCTGGGCCTGAGACTCAAACCACGGCTGACTATGGAGTTCAGTGCCTTAACCACCATGCCACCTGCTGGCCCCTGAGCTGACGTATTTATACACAATTTCTGAGAGCCACTGGTTGAGCACCACTCCCAGGGGGCATTAATTTTTCAGTACTTCCAACCTGCCACAAACGCAGGTAGAGTATCCCCTGAGGACAGTTACTGACAACGGAAAGGCACCCAGGATGCACTGAAATGGTAAAGGCCAAGAGAATACGGTGAGGCACTTACAGAATCCACTAATTTCTAAATTCCTATTTCTGGTCCTGATCACTTTATTTTTCCCCAGATCCATACAGCTAACTTGGACCTCTGTTGTAGAGCCTGCCTACAGAGGCTGCCCACTCCGACCCTCATCTGTTTTCTCCCTGATCACAGAGGCTAGTCTGCCATCCTCACAGCACTCCCAAATCAGGCACCAACCAGTCATTTGTAACTTGTCAATTGGCTGTCAACCTTTTAATGACTTTCCGAGCTCCCACCTCCCTCCCTACTGTCTTAGTTCAGATTCTATTACTTGTTTGACTAAATTATTGCAATATCTTCCTAATTGGAATTTCTTTTCATTTTCTATTCAAACCCACTACATAATTATCCTGCTCTAAATCTTCCAATATCCTCTCCATTACATAAAGTCAAGACTTTCAGTCTTTAATTGAGTACAATTATCTGGTTCTCCTCTTCATGTCCAGCTTCTACTTCTTCACTCTTCTAAATACATTCTAGGTGCCTGTCCACATATATTTGTTTATACGTACAAACAATTTTAAATTATATATACAAATCAGAGGCTAGTCTTTACATATGTATTTTCTTCCTTAATGGCTGTCTTTTTACATTTTATCTATCTGATCAACTCCTATTAATTTCAAACATTATTTTCTTTACATATTGTTCCAGACCCCTCAGGGAGACTGGCATCTCATGCACTATGCTTCTGTAGTAGTAACAATCACAGAGCAATAATCACAAATTTATTGAGCTAATGGTATGGGTATCTATAGAAATACTGTAGAGTTCTTTACCTGAAAATTAGAACATATCAGGAATGTTGCAAAAAGACAGATATCTGATGGACAAGCATGTAATTGTTCATGATAATCCTCAACATTAGATGTAAAGACCAAGGACCTTTTCTAACAGGTCTCTTCCTCATTCATGGAATCTTAGCTATGAACTGAGTCACTCTAGGAATCTACCATGATGCTCAGGTAAGAGAATTTATACCAGACCTAGATTTTATCATTACTATTATGATGATGACGATGATGATGGTGATGATGTTCAAAGTGCACTTCAGTGAACTGCCCAGCCAATGCCATAGATCAATTTGCCATTATGGGATAAATATGATTAAGACCCCTGCTCTTCAGCTCTTTAAGGTTACTGTGCTGCTCCTTGACATCTGCCACTCCTGAATTTCAGTGTCCTGACTAAGATTCCACTGGAAGAGTACCATCTCTTACCTCATCTGTTGCCTACAGAGGGCAGCACTTTTCAGAAATGCTGTTGCTATCTTCCCAAAGCATTTCTCAGTTCTATGACACAGAAAGTATCCTCTGGGCCTTGACATAGGAAAATAGTTATGAGAGGGGAGAAAAGGTCATAGGTGATAAGTCTATTCCATCTCAAACTCTAAGTTATTACATTTCTTTTCTTTTTTATAATACCAATGAATTTCTGAACCACTGTATTTAGTGTATGCCACCATTTAGTGACAGACACCACTTTAGTGTATGCCACCACACACCATTTAGTGTATGTCATCATTTCAGAACTATTGTATTTAGGGTATGCCACCATTGAGTCCAGGTTTTAATCAACAAACTGACCAAACTAGAAATACTCCCAGCTGCTCAAACCAGCACATGTAATTGAAAATCTTTGGAGAATCCACATCAAAAAATTCAGGGCCAAGGGACCAGCAGTTAGCATAATGGCTATGTCGCTGGACTCCCATATAGTTGACCAGGGTTCAAGTCCCGGACCCAGGGGCTTAAAACTCAGGGCGAATGTGTGTGCGTGCCCAAGATCCCGAGAAGAGAATAGAGGAGAAGGGATTGCGGAGTGGCCATCCCCCCTGGGGGGTGACTTCTTGCTTTCTGTCTCCCTGTCTCTGTCTGTCTGGTGAGCGCACACGCCCTATAGCAAAAACCTCTCCAAAAAAAAATTAAGGGCCATGTGGTGGTGCAGCAGTAACATAACTGGACCACATGGGATAGATACTAGTTTCACATCCTGAGACCTCCCTGAGCATGCCAGGGTTACTTCTGCTATAACAAAAGGAGTGGTATTTGGGAGTGTGATATTATTAAGACTGTCTAAATCCTCTTAAAAGTTACTATTTCTATTTTTATCATGTTCTCTTTTTTAGTCAATGTTATCATGTTCATAAAAGACTTAACGAGGCTGTGGATTCCACTGGTGATACAGGTTAGCAATTTTAGAATCAGCTCTGTGTATTAATTTTCAACTTCGTCAGCCCTCTGATGAGAAGTAAGGGATCCTCTTAGATCTGTCATAGAAACTTCCCCATTCTATTCTTTCAGATGTGAATTTAAAATATTGAGCAATTATTTTCTTTCTGCAAGCCATTCAGCATAGTTAGAAAGAGCCAACCAAGGCTATAGGGTACTACCCAGACTTCAGGGTGACTATATATTCCAGTTTGCCTGGCACCACTCTGTTTCTATCTGTTACCTTGGAACTGTTCATTACATTTCACTTCACTTTCAAAAATGTCCAAGTTTGAACAATAAATTATAATTATTCTTCTTATACCTCCAGACCATCAAACAGTCATTTCATTAACAATGAAAACTCAAGGCAACCACAATGAAAATCTGTTTCATTACTGAATGGCATTGGATATCATTTTGCCATTAGCTATCAATAACACTAACAGAGTTTCCACTGGTTTTAAGCCAAACAGAGTCAGATAATCAGTCCTAGAGTCCCATTTTCTTTAAATTCTGTTTCCTACAATGATCATGATATTAACAACTACACAAATCAGGATTCTTTGCTACATACTAGAGAATTCACTCCAGATGTTAAAACAACAATGAATGTACTATTAAACACTGGGATAGAAGGCTGGAACCAAACCTCCATACAAAGCCAAGAGTAATGCAACAAAAGGAATACCCATAGTGACACTATTCTATCAGTAACCTCACGACCATTATCATCCACTGCTTGACACCCCAGATGGAACTAGACAGTAGATCCATCATAGCAGTTGCCTAGAAGATTCAATTTCTTCCCCTGTGACTACCCTTGTGCCTGTCTACATTCTTAGTTTTGAACAGGGTTATTTCTTTTTTTTTTTTTAGTAGAAACTAGGACATGCACAAAAAACTGAGATAGGAAAATTTAATATATGTTTTACCTTTAAGGTCTCCCTAGCACAAAACACATATTAGAGAAGCTTTGGTGAGAATGGAGAGTGAATCAATCTTCAGTACCTGCTGAAAACTGAAAAGGATTTTGAAGGAATCCACATAGAAGAAAATGGTGGTAAGAACTTCAGTGGTGGCCACAAATTTCTATTAAGGAAGAGTTTATTGGATACTATCTCACTGGATAGGGGATTGGGAGATTTGTCTTGAAGTTAGGTTTGTATAACAAGCATACCTCCCTTACTTAGCTAGGTTGTTCATTTCAAGTGTACCTAAGAGAGCTTATGAAGTTCTAAATCAGACAAATGATACAAACCTTGGCACCATCACCAGATGGGGAAGGTGAAATGCGTCCAAGGGTATTGCCTCTACTATACAGATTGAGCTGTTGCTTCTGAATAACAAAGTCAATGACAAAGAGGTTCTTAAATAAAACACCCTGCAATATTGATAGGAGTCCTCCCCAAACAATTCTGTGAAAGAGAAAAAAAAGACTATTTTTAAAAACATAATTTCTGAAAAAATGCAAACTATGTAACAAAAGTGTTTAAATTCTGAACTTCCAGATATCTCTGGGTAGATGTCAATATTTATTACACCCAAATTGGCACAAGCAAGGAGGACCCAGTGTGTTTTCCCTACTTTATACTGTATTGTGCTCTCTCTTCCTTCTCTCTCTCTCTCTCTCTCTCTCTCTCTCTCTCATCCCTGTGACTTGAAACATTCCTTTGCTTTAAAGTAGTCTTGGGGGGCTGGCAGGTGTCATGGTGGTTAAAGGTGCTGGACTCCCACATGGCCAACCATGGTTCAAGTCCCAGACCTGATAGATTGCTTTCTCATTTTCCCCTCTCTCTTTAACAATGATTAAACTGAAAATAAAAATAATAAAGTTAAATACAATAATTTTTTTAAAAAAAAGTATTCTTGAGCTAACAGTCATATATCTTTTGCCCCAAGTCCATCTGCCTGAGATATTTTTTTTCATTGGCCCAAGTCTAACTAGACCAGTGGGTGCTTCAGAAATGACTCATAGACTGGCCCCATAGTGCAACACTTTAGCCTTATGCATCAGGAGCCAGATCCCACATGGCCATCTGAACTTTGAATCCCACTCCTGTGGCTTGAAAAGCATGCCAGATGCATGTGTGTGTGCCCAAAATCCGGACAGGATGGAGAAATAGAGGAAAAAAGGATTGCAACATGACCACACCCCACTAGGGGTTCTTCTTCCCTCTCAATAAAAATAAATACATAAAAAATCATAATGTATTTCCTTTTTTTTTTTTCCTAATCATTCCATTTAGTGAAAACCTTTAATTCACAAGTCAAACAGCAAAGAGTCAAAATAACTTTTAGAGCCTGTTGGGGACATTGTGAGGGAGAGAGAGCCTGTGCTATTAAACATAAATTTTGCAGATCTTTTGGCTTCGCAGTTCATAGCACTCAGCTCCCTGGCTCCTCAGGAGCTCCTTCTCTTCTGCAGCATCTCCAGCTTTCAGTTGCGGGAAGCGAGCAGGAGAGGCGATGAAATCATAGTGCCGGTCCAGATAGCGCAGGTAGATGAGCATGTGCAGGGCGTAGGCCAGCACCAGCAGGAGGATCAGAGACATTGCCAAGCCGATCAGAATGGCTGGTGAAAAGGAAGGGGCGCAGTCTCGGGCCTTAGCAAACTGTCGGCCTTTGATGGTAAAACCCTGGATCTGCCAAGAAAAAGAAAAGAGCTGAAATGACACATCTCTTTCCTCTGACGATCTACTTCCAAGTTAGGCTTGGAGTTCCAGTCCCATGATTAGCCAGATTTAATATACTGTCACCATATTTGCTGAAGAATTTAAATGTAGGGTATGACTAATACTGATACATTTATGGGGACAGGGAAACGTCCTTCTGAATCAGGATCAGCCCAGAAACTCTGGGATGTATGATGTCATAATTAAGAGGCTCGTGAAATTCAAGGCTCTGAAATGAAATCTTTATTTTGAGGCTCTGAAATAAAAGCCCTTTTCATCTGATCCTTAGAAATATTCTATAACGATTTACGTAAAACCACAATTGCTGTGGTGCTTATAAAATTCAAAGCACACTCAAAATTTTATAGGTGTTAGTGTAAGTTTCATGAAGATTTTAAGTCTTGGTTCCATGCCCTTAGATTCTATTGACAGGAATTAAACAGCGAGAGTTTTTTAAGGGAGGCTTCATGATTCCCAAGGAGGTAAAGCATGGATAATAATAAATGCTGACACTTAATGAAGGTTTTTATATGCCGGACACTGTCCTAACTCTCTAGTACTCATAAGAACCTACGAGTTCTTACAATGACGTCCCTAGTTTATGGCTGAGGAAACTGAGCACAGAAAAGTTAGGGAAGTTGCCCAATCACAATTACAGGGGTTGTGAAGGCACAATTCAAACCTGGGCAGTTTGCCTTGAGACTCACACTCAGTTTGACTCCAAAGCTCCTGGTATGTTCTGTCTCTTCTTCCCTGTGTCACCACCTCTCCCTCTTTATTGGTTGCGCCTGAAGACTTGGTACTATTTTTGCAAGTACCACAACTTGGTACCAGCCCCTCCTTGCTTCAGCCCAGAGAATAGAAAGGAAAGCTTATTATGTGCCAATAAAGTGATTTTATTACTTGGAGCTAGTGGAGGTTCAAATTGACAACTGGCCCTGATATTTCAATACTGTCAAAATGAAGAACTACAAAGGAACTACTTTAAAATAAGAGCAGTCAGGACCAGCAGTTGGCATAATGGCTATGTTGCTGGACTCGCAATTGACCACGGTTCAAGTCCCAGACCCGGTGGCTTAAACTCATGCAGAGTGTGTGTGCGTGCGTGACCAAGATCCTGAGAGGAGAATGGAGGAGAAGGGATTGTGGCATGGCCATACCCCCTGAGGGGTGATTTCTCACTTTCTGTCTCTCTGTCTCTCTCTGTTTTTCTGGCAAGCTCACACACTATATAGCAAAAAACTCTCCAAAAACAAACAAACAAATAAATAAATAAAATAAGAGCATACATTTGTGGAAAGCAGCCCCCATTTATAATAAAACTGTACAGTGTCACCTCATTCAGTCACCCACTTGTTTATAAAGGGTATAATGTGAGGGAGGGGTTCAGGAAAACATGATCAACAGACATAAGAAAGCAAGTAAACGAGGCAAATATATCATGGGATAGTATACTATAACAGTTTTTTTTTAAAGCATTGCCAATCTTATATACATATCTCCAAAAAACAATGTGTAGGATGAAAATCTGAGGTCCACAACTTAATGTAAAATTCTTTGTTGAAGATGAAGAATTCAATTATCTCACATTGCATATATGCTTTGAAAAACCATATTGAGAACCAGCAGATGGCATAATGGTTACATCACTGGACTCCCACATAGTCGACTGCAGTTTGAGTCCCAGACTCGGCAGCTTAAAACTCACACTGGGCAAATGTGCGTGCATGCCCAAAATCCCAAGAGGAGAATTAAGGAGAAGGGACCACTTCATGGCCATCCCCCCAGGGGCTGATTTCTCACTTTCTTTCTCTCTGTCTCTCCAGCAAGCGCACATGCCTATATAAAAAATCCCCCCTCCAAAAAAGAAAGAAAAAGTGAATAACCAGATTGTACCCCACAAAGATGTACAACAGTTAAGTGTACATAAGGAGTTACAAAATAAATAAAATCAAATCAAAAAGGGAAATTGAATCATCCATGAGTGCTTTATAAAGAATTCCTCTTCAAGAATAAAGTGAGCATTTTAGCATTTTCCACTGCTAAAATTACTGTGACCACCCATCAAGCAACAGACCTTAGGGCCTGGGTTTATCTCATCATCCATGTTCTCGCCAGAATCTAAAGTGACTCCTGAAGGAAACTGGTGGCCTGGTTTCTGGAATCCTCAACTTGCCCTTCCTATGAAAAGGCAGTGCGGCTTTTTCTCACACAAGTGTCTAAAGAGCCAATCTCTATGACCCAAGAGGACCTTATTTGATTCTGCGTCTCCCACCACAGAGTACATCCTCAGATTGACTGCTATTTAATTCTTCACAAAACTTGGTTGAGAACAAAAAGTGTGAAAAGGGCCTGAGGATATGTTGTCAATCCATTCCAGACTAAAGGTCACAAACTCACTATGTGCAGCCCAGAGTTCTGTACACCCAGATTGCTAGCTTCTACTAAGGAGCCAGAAAATCCAGCAACACTGGCCTCACAAGTCCTAAAGAGCATAAATCAACTGGAACTGCATTTTTAAAATGCTTCTTGTGGGGGCTGCCAGGTGGTGTGGTGGTTAAGGCACTGGACTCCCACATGGCTAACTGTGGTTCGAGTCCTAGATCTAGCAACTTGCTTTCTCATTTTTCTCTTTCTCTGTGTGTGTGTCTCTCTTTGGTCACGTTACAAAATAATGACAAATTAAAAATATTTTTTTAAATGCTCCTTCTGATGCTGGCTATGCTTTGTCACAGTCTCTACTTCACTCATTTACCTGAAGCATCTGAGTTTACCACGCATGTGACATTATTCTGTATCTGATTCCTAGGATCAGCCAGACCAATAAGCTACATATGGGAAAGTAGCCTTTGTACATACATCTACCTCAACCAACATCACCACTACCACCTCTTCCCTTAACAGAGCCTGCATTCTGCCATCTGTTTACATTAATGTGTTCCAATACAGAATCTGCTACCTGTGACACCCCAGGGTGTTTACTGACACTTCCTGGGCCTAGAACTTCCAAGCTGTTTACCGCAGCTAGGCTGTTGATTTTGGGCATGCACACCACTACATACTACACACCACCAGGGTCAATATACGGTACTCCTCACAAGTGAATTTTCAATCATGTAGACTCAGAGACATTGTGAGCTTGTAACTGAGCGTCTTTTCTTAGACTGGCTGCTTTAAAGCTCCAGAGCCAATTACTGTGCCAACTCCAGCCAGTGTAGACAGATGGGCTAATGGTTTGTGAACCAGCCTCACTAACTGGTCTTTTATTCCTTTGTTCTTCACTGTCATTTCTTTACCCATTTTGTTTGTTTTACTTTTTTGTACTGCAGGATGTATATAAAGTCAACATTTAGGTGCACAGTTCAGTGGTGTTGGGTTGATTCATAATGTTGCATAAATCGTCACCATCATCCAGCTCCAGAACTGTTTTCATCTGGCAAAACTGCAACTTCATACCCAAGAAACACTGACCCTCTCCTTCATTTTCCCCTCCCCTCAGCTCCTGACAACTATTATTCTACTTTCTGCCTCTGAATTTGACTACTCTGGGATCCTCCTAGAGGTGGAATCATGCAATAGTTGTCCTTTTCTACCTGGCTTATCTCACTTAGCTTAATACCTTCCAGGGTCATCCATTCTGTAGTGCATACTCAAAATTCCTTCCTTTTGAAGACTGACTAATGCTCCATTGTATGCATATATTGCACTAGATTTTATCCATCTATGAGGGGACTTCAAAAGGTCATGAAAAAAATGGAAAGTACAAATTTATTTTGGTGTTAAAAATGTTTGACATTCATACAGACTTTTTTCATAATTTGCATTTTCCTTTAATTTTTGGAAGCCCCAGCCCCC